CTACATGAATCCTCTGTTCAGAGCACAAGCAGACCAGCCACTCTGATTTCACTAATAAACAACAAAACATACAGCACCACTGCAGAGGATGAACTCAGTTTTTGCCCTTGCTCTTTCACTCCTCCAGCCTACAATCTGTAACTATAAAAACACTTTAAAACACATTACCCCGACTGTACCTCTTTCAACATGTCCGTACTAGCACGTGACCATTCACACATCCATAATAAGCACAAATTAGAGCTCTTCTAACAGAGAGCAACTCAAGTAGCTGCCAGGGTGTCGGGCAGACGTTCCTGGAGCGCTTGCATGTTGCTGTTACAGGTTAGACAAGGAGAGCACATCCCTGCCCCCAGGCTCCCTCCCAGCATCACCAGATGCGTTGGGAAGCCTTTGTACTCCAGGAACGTGAAAGGAGAACCCAATACCCTTAAGTCAAATATCTGGCCTCAGGAGGGTAGCGATAGCTCTTCAGGCGGCAATCTGAATAAAATCAGCTATAGCAATTACTGCTCGCTTGTGTCCTCAGTAACTGTGCTTTCTTCCCAATCCTCCCTTCTGCAGAAAGCCAAAGAGATGCCACTTCTTCTGAGAACGACCCTGGAGCAAGACCAAAGGGGCAAGAAAACAGCCCCTCCCCATGACAGTGTAACAGGGGGTGGGATGGGCAGGAGGAGGGCCTTGCTGTGAACATTAAACAAGAATTTGCTATTGAAGCTGCAGACAAAAGCCAACCTGGAACAGCAAGTTGTCTGTCAAATGCCTCTGCTGCAATTCTTTCTGTTTAGAGCCACAAGATGCTGTGCAAGGACTGGCACCTCCAAAAGACTTCTGCTCCCATCCCTAACGATTTAGAGCAACGCTGCCGTGGTTGTAGTGGTATGAGCCATTCTCAAGATGCCTTAGCTGCAATTTTCCCCTAGGGGAAAAAAAATATGATTTCAGTAATAATAGACACATCAGACTTTCCTGTCCAAGGTACCTTCCTCCTTTGAAAGTTCAGACTATTATTTATATAGATTAGAAAGTTAGATTATTGGGGTTTTTTAAGTCTCACCTGCATCTTAGACCTGACCTGGCCTCTGGACTGTCCACACACCCCTCGTCAGGGTGGGCAGTGGGGAAGGGACCCGCTGCCTTCAGGTCAAGCACCACTCACCTGTGCTGCTGCCGCTTAGCATCAGGAAAGGACCAAAGCACAGCTCTGGGTGGCTGAGCTCCACCTACAGACCCAGCAGCTCCAGCCACAGGCATCTTTTTCTTTGGGTTTTAGCATTTTAAGATATTGTTAAGGGGAGGGGAGAAACATTTTGCTGGTTTAACTGTTGAAATTCAGGCTTAACTTTGCAAGCTGTTAGCTGAGATGATCTCTGGTAGGATCTCACACCATTCTCTCTTTTAGGAGACATGTTTTGTGTTAAAGATGGTTTGATAAAACTATATAAGCTGTTGGAATAAATAACACAGCCTTCAATTACTGAAGGTGTTTTTTTTTCTGCTTGGATGTTTCTTCTTCCTCTGTTTTGCCTTGTAGCTGGTTGAGCTGCAGGGTGGTTACACCAGCTGCCCCTAACAGGGAGATACGGAGCTGTCTTACAGGAGAGTGCCTTTGGGTCTGTGAAACCCCGGGGGTTTGCAGCACCCAGGTGGAAGCAGATGTAGTTGGGCACAGAAAATGCTAAAAGTCTGCCCCGACTTTCCCAGGTTTGCTGCCAGGCAGCACCTTTCCCATGGGTGTTTCATCCACCCGTGGGAGCACTACTCCCCTCCACGTTACCACCCCAGAAGTCGAGCACAAGGCTGGCTTGGGACTTGGCGGAGTGGTCCAGACACCAGCAGAAGGGATGCTGGTGGGAAAAGGCATCTTCCCTCTGCAGCACTGAGGTACCAGGACATCGCTGGCATTTCATCCAGCCCAGGCAGAGCCGACCCCGCCGGAGCTGCAGGAGGCAGCGACCGCCCGGCTGGGATCCACGGCCGGCACGGGGACAAATACCCTGCACTGGTGACACAAGGATGAGCATCACCCTGACAGCCTAGGGAAGAACTGAATGTTACAAGTTTGAGATTTATCACAGAAAACAAGGCCATAAATAAGTAGAGAAGCGGCTGCCGGACAGAGGGAGAATTGTCTGCGGGCTTCTGAGAAGCGGTGGCCACGGGGCCAGCACAGAGATGGCCACGGCTCCAGCCCCGACAGGAAACGAGGATTTGGCAGCCAGGTAGCGGCTGCATCTGCTGCTTTGGCAGCTGCAAACCAGCTCGGCTCCCGGAGCTGCCTGGGTACTATTGCAGTTCTGTGCCCGGACGGCAGCCAAGAGCCTGCTCCCGTTTCTCCATGCTCAGGGGCAAACCAGCAGGTAGCTCCTGGGCTTGGCTGACAGCACAGTTGGGTCTTTAAGCCCCATTTCCAGCTCTCCTCACTGCCACCGAACAGGGTTTTTGGCTCACGCTGACACACACAGGGAAAGTTGAAAGGTGGTGCAGAGGGACTGTGCACCACGCAAGACCTCCAGCAGTCAAATGGGGGCTAATCTTAGGTCTCCCTGGTCAGAAAATATCTGTTCCAGAATTATATTTAGGCAGATGATTGACCTGTTGGCCAGCTACCCTGAGAGGACAGGCAAGAGGCATCAGGTTCCCTCTGCGAGTGAAAGAGCCAGCTCAGCTGCCGTCACCGATTGTGCTGAAAGACCAAGGGCATCGGCTTAATACAGCCACATCCCGACTTGCAAAGTTGCTGAGCGCACGGATGCTCCGAGCCCTCATTTCGGTTGAACACAGGGGCATGCCAGATCTCCCAAAACTCTCACCGAGCACGAAATGATGGGAAAATCTTTCAGCAAACGCTCCCCTGCCCGCATTGACAGTGCACTCCAACAGCCAGGCAGCCCAGGCTGCACCAATTCTGGCTCTCAGCATTAACCGACTGTGCAAAACTCAGGAGACAGGGGGCGGGGGGGAAAAAGTAAACTATTTTTGATACCCACCAGAAAAAGTGAGAGCACACAGTGATGACACTGCTGCTTCTAGCAGTGATATGCGTCCGTTTGATTACCGAAGGGAAAAGGACACGTCAGGTTGGAACAACCCGCATCCATAAATCCGACTTGCCTGCCTAGGAAGGGAGCAGGAGTACCTTCCCTCTGGCTGTCCAAGTGCTCCCACCTGGCGACAGGAGAGGGCAGGGATCGGGTTGCCAAAGCCCCCATCACACCTACCGATTAACCCTCCTGCTCTACCAGGGGTACGATGGCTCACGTTGTGGACCACGGTTCCCGACAGTCCTCCTTGAACAGAAAGGCAAGAGGATTTATCTTTTAATATAAATTTGTTATTTTATTAAACGGGATTAACAATCAACTGTCCAGAATCCAAACAAGCAACTCTTCTTCAGAAACAGTTTTTGGAGAAAAATTACCCAAAAAAGCCTGGTTCTTACCACAATCATGTTCTTAAAAGTGATGCTTTATCATTTGCTTTATAAAAGTAAGAAATTCACTCTCTCATATCCATCTATCTAGCTACATATATGTATCTCTGTGTGTATATATGCACCATGTACTTCAGAGACGAGTATTTTACTGAGAAGACAACTAGGAAAGCCCAGAAAGAATGGAAATACTCCCAGCATGTGGTCACTGCTGGCTGAGACTGGACCAGTCTCACACACACTGCAGTAATGGTGACCACGGCCCCTTGTCGAAGGCAACTTTTTGGTACAGTATCTTTGGAGTCAGCATCTTGGCAGACACCTGGGATGCTAAAGCACACCACACACTCACGTAAGAAAATGATGGTCTCTTCTCTGGATGCGCAGCTCTATTGTATATTAAGTAAAAAAATACTATAATGCATCAGAATTGCTTAGGAATTTTGGTGAATATTTCTCTATAAATTCTCCACCAAACTGAAGATCTGACAGCTAGCCAGTGTTGTGGCTGAATGAGAGAAACAATTCAGATGGGACCTGAGCCAACATGTGACATCAGGCCCTAGCTTATTAATTTACTTACTAATTTTTAATAATTCCTAAAGATTACATCAAGTCAGGAAGAGGGCAGAATGGTTAAAACAGGCAATCGATCATGGGTTTTCAAAGTCCTAAATGAAGATAGAGAAAGAGCAAACTGCAGTTCACAGGAATTCTCCAGGATGAGTGGAAAAGTCCCAGAAGGCAGATTTTGGCCCAAAATGGTAAAAATATATTCCAACTTCCTATGCATGTGTGAGCATGGCCATAGCCAGCTGTGAGCACAGCTGGCACCACAGCCCAAGGTGTGCGCTTTTGCAGTGGTGACATTGGGAGGCTGATACACAGGAGTCCCTGTCTAAGAAAGGATACCAAAAAAATAATAAATTTGTTGTTTAAATGCCCTTCAGACCTATGCACAGGCAAGAGCACCGGCTTCCAGCTTGTTCTTGTTCCAGTCCTGTTAGTACAAGACTAACCTTGGGTAAATATAGCTGTGGCCAAACTCTCCTACCCACCTGGATGGGAATAAAGCCTCTGTTTCTGAAGTGCCTGCTCACTCCCTGTCAGCACTAACACACTTCTTTCCTAGAAAAATGAAGATTAACCCAGGCCACAGGCAGAGTTAAAGGTGGTTATTTCTGTACTGCAGACAAGGGCTAGGCAGGTCAGTGGGGCAGGACAGATAAAGCAGGAGAAAGGGTGGGGGGAAAGCAGAAGAGGTTCTTCTGTTCTTTGCAGTACAGAAAGACTGGCAACGGAGGAGGGAGCCCGGCCAGGAGGCAGTTTCAGTCTGCCTGCACAACTGCAAGATAGGAAGCTGGATATCCATTTGGGAGAGAGTTCGTGGGGGTGATAGGTAGGTGTTTGTGATAGCCTGATTCTGCTGAGCACTGTAAGGGTTAACACAGGGCTGCCAGTGATAAAGACTGGCTCGGCACCTTCTCCAGGTGCTCCCACTAGCAGAGAGGAGAGTCAAGCACACATGAAGAAGGGCCACCGCTCCATGCTGGCTCGCAGGGACAGGTCACGATGTGTTGGGGACCATCCCATAGGCTTCATACAGCGTGTCGAGCAGCTCCTGCTTTTCCTTCTCAGGTAAGAAGCTGGACTGAGCTGCGTTGATATTCTGGGGAGGCAGGGGGGGAACGCAAGGGAGATGTTAAGACACAGCAGACGTGAACGTGTGGTTGTGCAAATCCCAACGTCTGTCTCTGAGCAGCAACAGGCGAGGGAGAGTGTAAAGTTTCCACTCCAAGATTCATTTCCACAGCCTCGTTTTACAGGGCAACTGCTCTGGCCCACCACTAGCAACAGTCCCGAGAGGAACAAGGCAGGCACAAAGCAAAGGTCTTTAATAAACACCTTGGAGTTTTTGGGATATGCACTTTAGACCTGTCCCTACACTCCCAGCTCCCTGTCGCACAAAAGCCTCTCCGGCACAGTGGTGGTGGCAGCCTGAGGCACCGCTGCTGGGACACAGCTTGGCTGTGCAATGGCACCTGCTTGTCCGGCTTGTGCTGGGACCCTTCCTTCATTACACAGAAATGACCCGGTTTTTGCAAGCGCAGGAGAAGACAGCTGGCAGCAGAATAACTGTGGATCCAGGATCTCAGAGCTGTCCTTGTTTCCCCTTCCAGACCCAGAGAGTAAAGTCTGTAGGAGAACGGGACTTGTTCCTCCAGCCAGAGCTGAGAGCAGGACTGATGCTCTCTTGTAAAGCTCCTCCTGCGCTTCCCAATCCAAGCAAGGATCTTGGGAGACACGTAGGTGAAAGTGCTGAGCACGACTAAATGCAAACCAGGAAAGGTTTGCTCGGTAAGCAAATAAGTCAAACTCGCAACAGTTATCCTGTCTTTCTGTGTTGGGCGAATAATGAGAAAATCAAGGATGTAATCAAGACATACAAATGACTGGGTGTGCCAAAACCAAAGCCAGCAGTCACTTTGTTTCCAGCTCAGTTATTGCATACTCATGTTATACGTGCAAAAACCGCAAGCACTTTTGTACCTGCTGAATCTTGCTAATTTCTGGGCCAGCCTTCAAATAACCTACCTGCAATGCCAAATTCAGAAAAGAAAAGCAACAGGCACCCTCCTTCCTTACTGCTAAGACCGGCTGTGAGGACATCAGTGGACAATTCCCACTCTGACCTGTTCCCCATAAAGCCCAAAGCAGTCAGCAGCCCCTGCACCCACATCCCCCTGCACCCAGCACCGCTCCCAACATCCCCCCTCCAGCCACCCCCGCAGCCACCCTCAGCCTCATCCTTACAAAGACAGTGCAGGATTTTCTGATTTCCATTAAAAGCTCTTCAGCTTATAAAGAAAAACAGCAAGTTGTTCTGGGCTGCACCAGGACATCACCAGAGCATCCAGCCAAGGCCAACTTACCACTCTCTTGAACTCCTCTTCAGTGAAGCCCATGTAGTCCTTCACGATGCTGTAATCCTTGTCAATATTGGAGTTAAAGATGAGAGGGTCATCTGTGTTTATAGAATAGTTAGCTCGATCCTTCCTAAATCTGTAAGGAAATTGGGTTGGACCAGTGGGTAAAACACTGGATGCGGCACTGGTCATGCACTTCTCGGGGTAAAATGCAGTAAAAGCAAAGACCTCGCAGCTGTCCCTGCAACTTGCGTTGCTGGACACAAACACAGGGCTCGCCTTGTCTCATCTCTGCTCTGCACCGATCTGCTTCTCCGGGGGAGAGGGGAGCAAGGCAGCTCTGGGAGGTTCAGCAGCCTCAGCTCTCAGCCACAAACCAGAGCCAGTTGGTGGTGTGCAGCATCCTGAGCCCCACAGCTCAGTGCAGGAGCAGGAGGGCCAGGACAGCCTCCCCGAGGGACCCCCAGCACCCCCTCCAGCTGCACCCTCTGTGCCAAAGGGCGAGGATGTACCACACCTTCCTAAGCAGTTACATGTGTGTTACCTTTGTAAAGCAATAAAGCAGCTATAATCAACCCAAATCCTGGTTATTCAAGATTGCACACAATTCAGAAGTCTTACTGCGCTACTGGGTGTTTCCCAAAGTCTGGAAGGCATGCTCCGGTGAGATAACTGGACCAAGGGCAGACCTGTTTGGGGAAGTTAAACATGAAAACCAGAATCAACCATGCAGATGTGAACCCCAGCTATGTAGGCAGATAGTTAAGCATGCTGGTAAAGCCAGATACAGGTTTAGAGCTTTGTTCACAGCTACCCCTCAGCACTACTCCGACGGACCGGTCCACATCCCAGGACACGGATGCGAAGAGCCCACAGCCCGCACGACAGCAGCCGGAGCCAGTGGGATATTTCCCATGGCCAGTCAGCCCCCAGCCGTTTGTCAACCACAGTTAAAAAACCACCGGCATTAAGTATATACATATATATTCCATATATTAGTTGGATACACCCATTCTTGGGAAAAGCCAAGGAAATCTGCCCATACACACTAACTCCCATGCACCTCCACTCTCCAACCAGACCGGCTCTGGTACAGCAGCCTGATTTGCGGGAAGAGGAACCTGCAGGCTTGACGTATATAAACTAGTGAATAAACCCTCCAAAATTTATCCTCAGCCAGACCAGGATGCATTTCTCTCTGCCACATGCCTTCTGCAAGCTGCTGTGTGCACCAGTGCTCCTTCCAGCAAAGATCCCAGCAAAGAGCCAGGTGTCCTCACCGTTTTTGCCATGGAGCTCTGGGGCATCTGGGTTCAAGGGCAAGGTCACCGTACACATGGTCAGCACTCGGGGGTCAGGTTGTGTCCCTGGCTGTAGGACAGCCCAAGCGAGGGCTGATTTTCCACTCAGACAGCAGCTGCCTGGCCGCCACACTCCCACCCCACATCCTTACCTCAAAATGCATCTTTGCTCTCAACAGCTCCTTGTAGAGCTCGGGGTCCTCCAGGACATGGTAGCCATGGCCAATGCGCTCGGCCTTCAGGAGATAAACTGCCTAGAGAGGACAGGAAAGCCACGTACAGCCCCCGAGCACCAGCTTGGCTCCTGCCTGCCCAGAGACCCCTGCCCCACCACGGGTACAGCCCACACCACTGAGCCAGCTCCGGGGAGGTCCTTCCCCGAGCCGTCGGGACCAGATCTCTGCCTGGGACCCCGATGTTTGCTTCGCTACAAATATGGAGAGGACTTGGGCTCCTCTCTCCCCGGTGCAGGGACACTTCCCACCCCTGCCCCTCTCTGCCCCTCGAGCCGGGAGCTCCTCATACCTCCTTGATCATGGCAGGCGGGCCAGCCTCCCCAGCATGGACAGTACGATGAATCCCGCATCTTTCAGCTTCCTGCAAAGCAAGGGAGGACACACTCCTGTCCCATCACCCGCAGCAAGGTCAGCAAACCCCGGGGCTGGCACCGCTCTCAGGGGCACAGCAAGCAAACAGGGTTCTGCGCGAAGAACCCCCAAATCACAAGCCCTGCACCCCGAGAGGTGCTGTGCTGTAGCACAGGTTGCGAGAGAAGAGCTCGGTAACGCCAGACACAGAGAAACTTAGAAAGCCTGCTCACCTTCCCCTGGAGCCCAGCTGAGACTCTCAGGGTCTTTTAATACCGGGTGAGCTCACCGCTGTCTCCTCTCCAGACAGCACCAAGCTCGAAGCTCTCCTTCCTCCACCCGCTTGCCCTTCTGCGTGAACCTTGCAGCAGTCCCTGTCTTTGAAACTTCTCCCTTTTTTTTGGCCAGCTGCAGCCAAGGGGGAGAATTTAAAAGCCCCCAGGGCAGAGATGCTCAGACACCAAGGGCCTCCCTGCTGTAAGGCGCTGGGGACGGAGACAGCCCAGCCAGGAGGACCCTGCAGGTACAGCTTTGGGGGCATTTCGAGATGCTCTCCATGGCCATCCTGAAAAAATCTCTTGCCAGGGTGGCCACAGACCACCTGGGCTTTGGGAAGCCATGCAGCTTTGAGGGAAGCCTGGCTCCTGCCTTGCTGGAAAAGGGCCACCCAGTCGGCAGCGGTGGGCAGGCTGCAAGCCCCATCTCGCAGCTGACACGCTTCCCAGGCACTTCTTCAGGGCTTTTCACTCATTTTTTTTCAGTTACTTAATTTTCAGCTCCTCATGTGCTGCACAGTGAAGGTCGGGCCAGGCTCTGCCTGGGATGTCAACAGAAGAGCCCTGCGTGCATCAGCCTCTGTGCTTCCTACATTTAAGAGAGTGACGATTTTTTCCCCCAAACAGCTGATTTTTGACACTTTTTAAAATAACAAAGTCCCTCTGGCTGAAGCAACACACCAAGAAGAGAGACAGACTCAGACCAGCACAGAGATTTTCCACTTGTTTCTACACAGGATGAAGAGAAATCAGAAAATCTCACCCCCCCGACTCCCAAGACAGACATCCCTAACCACCTCAGCAGGAGCCAGGGAGACAGCAGAGGGCTCAGGAAGAGCACACGCACCGGGACCCTTCCCCACTAACCCTCCCGGCTGCCGAAGCCTGAGCCCCTCCATCCAGGAGGGAGCTTGTGTCTAATGTCCTTCCATGGGCACATCTTCCCTGGAGTGTTTTAATCCCTTTTTCAACTCATTTGTCTGAGCACACATGGTGCTTCCCTTGGCTTCTCCTCCAAGGATCCCTGCTTCCTTGGCCATGGTGGTCCTAGGATCCTTGGCTCTACACTTCCCGGTGCTTCTCTGCAGCCAGCAGCCACAGTCGACTTTTCACCACTATCTGCTCTTTCCCCTCCAGCAGCCCCAAGAGCTCCCAGGCAAAACGTGCCTGCTTGAGGGACATCACAAGTCTCTCCAGTTTCCCTGGATGCATTACGTACCCCACGGAGCATAGCAGCAGTTATTTATAGGGATGTACTTCCCTGCCACACAGGCCGAGAGGGGCTGATGGATGGGAGCGGAGTTTGCTTCACCATCTCTGAGCCTGAGCGAGCCCCCAGCACGGAGACAAGACACATCCTTCGGATGGAGCAGTCTGGACCTGCGTACTGCTGGCATAGCACGGCAGGATGAGAAGCATTTGCCCATCAGTTAATAAAACCCTGTGCCTGCACCTCAGTTTATAACCACCCAGTTCATCCAGCACAGCAGCGCAGCCGGACTTTGTATCAGCTCCCACAGACGGGGGCAAAGACCCCGAAAAAGCTTTTCTGTTGTTTCCGACCTGAGCGCTGCTTGCAAACCACCGTCCTTTCTGGCAGTGATGGTGCACAGCCTCCTCCACTGCTGATGCAGGTGACCACCAACCCCAAGTTCCACCACCAAGGAGGAGCGAGGTACGAAGCTTTCCCTTCAAGCCGCTGCAAAGCGCTGAGGTCTAGCGAGAGTCTCAGATCAGGCTCCTGAAGCCATTCCAGCGTTTGCATTTGAGATGGTCAGATAAAAGCACTTCAAACATGCAGCTGCTTCTCTGCTCCTTGGGTGATTTCTGCCAGACTGGAAAGGCCGGTCTCTTCCACCCTCGGCCGTGGTTTTGCCGAGCCCCAGGAGCAGACCTCAGCCGACAGCAGCGGGTGCTGCCGGGGGGACACAAGCCCCTCATCCCTTGCATCGCACTCAGTGCTACGGGCTAGTGTGCCAAGCTCCAGCTGAAAGGCCATGTTTAAGCAATGATGCCTACCATTACTCACTTAGGAAATATAAACAAATACTGTTGCTATTTAACCAAATATTTCGAACAGCTGCAATGAATTTTTAAGCTATCCCAGCTGTTTGCAGTCACTATAACATGCTGTGTGTCCCCTCACGCACGTCCCCTCAATATATGTTTTTCTTGTAATTTCTTTTAAGAAGCGTATTCAACAAACCTCATAAGCCTTCTTATGCTCAGAGGAATTCTCCACTTTCAGGGACTCATCCCCAGCCAGATCGATGGCCACCACAGAGTTGTTTCGATACTTCTTGCAGAGCTCTACCACCTCCGGAGACCAGCCTGGAAGAGACAGCACCAGGGTTCAGGAGAAAGCATTTGTAAGGGTCGCACCTTCAGCATTTTTCTAAACAAATCCTGGTCCTATAACTAGAAAGCTAGAGCTACTGTCTTTGGTCTTTCCTAAAATTTGACGCTCAAAAAGAAAGCTAACAAACTGCTAGAAAAGTCTGTCATCTTCAGGCAAATAAAAGCTGCCAACTGATTAGTCCATCGTCAATGAAAGGGAAATCAAATGCATTGACAAGCTGTAAAACTGCTCTCATCATGTTTTTCATTAGAAAGAACTTCTTCACTGTTAGAGTTGTTAGGCATCGGAATGGGCTCCCCAGGGAGGTGGTGGAGTCATCGTCCCTGGAGGTGTTCAAAAAATGTTTAGATGGTTTAGTGGACATGGTGGCATCAGGTATACAGTTGGACTTGATGATCTTTGAGGTCTCTTCCAACCATAATGATTCTATGATTCTGTTCACTTTGAGCAAGGGAAAAAAAAATAAAGAAAAAGAACATCCAAACGCAGTGGTGATTGCTGCAGTTGGCCCAAGGTAAGGTGCACTGCACAGCCCAGGGGCTGTAACATGGTGCGTGGGAGAAATCCTTCAACTCGCTCCTGAGCTTTCATCCCATCCCAGGCTGGGCAAGGGGAGGGAAGAATCAGCCCATCAGATGTCTTGTGTCACGGAGGAGTTTGGGCTGGAAGGGATCTCTGGGGGCCCCTGTACGACAGCCAGCCCCGCCCTGTTGCAGAGCATCCTCGACTCCCCAAGACAAGACGATGGATGCTTCTCCTGGTGGGAAGGAGCTGGTCGGCCTCCTGGAAGGCTGGCCTTTAGCACTCTCAAAGTTTTATCTTTTTGGCATCAGTGAGAAAGAGAGTAACAAACAGCCAACAACTACTTCAGAGCTATCGCTGATCAGGATAGATAACTCCTGAGAAAGGACATGCAGCTGCCAGCTCATATAGCATTTCCCCTTAGCAAAAAGGCCAAGAAACAGTAGTAACACTTAACAGGCACCTGCTGTGTACATACAATCCCAAAAATCACACAAACACATCACAAAACGTGTGCAATTTCCTCTTTTTTCATCAGTTTCCAACTCACTGGGTTAGAGCCACCATTTTATTAACAAGTTTAACATAAGCTAGTTCTGGCTGGCATCTCTGCCTTTCTCTCAACAGTTCATAAATTACAGGGTGGCTTCTCACTGCGCAGCACATCCTGAATGCGGTGCTAAAGACTCTTGTGTCGAGCCCATCGCTGGCTCTGGGTACGAGTTGGTGCTCTAGGACACAGGCATGAAAAAGCCAACGCCGTTGTTCACATGAGCAATCCCTCCCGCGGTGCAAACGCACACTGCACGTGCCTTCGGATGCTCCCACCACCTTCTGCCTTTACCACCTGTGCATCGGCAGGGACTGTAACTGCAGACAAGTGTGACACTGCCTTACAGCTTTCCAGTTTCTACGAGGAAAAAAAAATTTTCTTCCTAGAAACCAGAAATTTAAGGGTCAAGTTTCAAAGTCTAGTTTGGGGTTGATAGTGCAGGCAGGAAAAAACCCACTCTGAAATCTCCCAGTTTCCAAGAATATAGTTTTTCACATTTCTAGACACAAAGTAACTGTGTAGTCATCAGCAAAAAAATCTTTCCACCATCTACCCTATTAAGCCTACATAAAACTGTTGTGAGATATGAAGATATTCGTAACAAAGCCTCCACACAGAGCGAGGCTGTATGACAGTAGCCATTCTGACTGCATCCTTCCCTAGAGGAAGATGCTCACAGAACTCATCAGCCCCATGAAACACTGGAAATTGGGTTTTCTTCCTATTCTGGGTTGCAGCACTTGTTACCAACGAAGTTCAGAGCTGCTGATTTTATAAAAAACATTTTCTATATGCGACTTAAGTGTATTTTACTTGTGTTTTCAGCTTAAACCAGCAGAGACTGCAGCCAGCGGATTCTCCGGCTGACCCAAGATCCAGGCTAACGAAGGACTACGCTGCTGTAGCAGCACGACCATGAGCAGGGGAAGTGTGAGATCTCACGCCTGGTCCTCCTCCCGTGACCGTCTGCTCTCAGACCCACCAGACGTCATGGTAGGTGCAACCGCTCGTTGTGGCAACGGCTTCAACTGGCCCAAGGAGAGCTCCAGCCTTTGGGCAGGGAGCGAGGTACGAGCAGAAATCACATCTCCCCCAGGAGAGGACAGGAGAGACCATTTTGTCTCTCTTGCAAGACCTTTCAGATACAGATTGTACCCACAGACCCCCACTCTTGCATCCAGCAGACCCTTTCCCCATAGTGAAGGGAGCAGAGGACCCCCACCAAGAAAAAAAAACTTCTCCTCAGCACTCTCTGGTCCCGCATCAGACCCAGGGCCACAGGACTGGGGCTTTCCCTGCATTTCTGCGGGGACCTGAACCCAGGGGACGTCACCCCCCGCCACGCGTCAGGGAAGGGGAGCAGAGCAGCAGGGGAGCTGCAATACATTACTTGGCATATGGCGCATGCAGCATAGAATAGACCTGGCTTTGATGCGGAAATCCCTTTCTCCATCCTGTAGTCCCTGATTTACGAGGTTAACGACTTCATCTGGAGTGAGGTCTCCCCTGCAGGGAAGAAAAGCCATCAGCGAGAGGCTGGACACCTGCCAGGGAGGCAGGCAGGAGCCGCAGGTCCAGCCCAGCATCCCCACGGGACACTCCATGCAAAACCCAGGCTGCCCGGGGGCCCATTCGCCTTAACATCCAGAGGAGCCCAAGGAGACAGCCCAGAGCTGAAGAGCACATTTTATACCCGTGCCATGCCCAGATTTACCAGATGTCAGGCACAAAAGCATGCAAAGATGACAGTAAGATTTAGAAAAGCCTCGGGGAACCAGATGATCTTTGCCAGAGCATCTCCTTAGGGCACACAACTGCCTGCAGCTCGGCAGGGGCAAGCACGGGGCTCAACGCCCATCACAGCACATTGTGCAAGGGGCCACAGAGCCCAGCCCTGATTTAATCAGGGGCACGCATCACAGAGAGGATGACATATAAAGAAGGAATCGGATCACCAGCCCCCTCCAACATTGCCCACCATCTCTGCCAGCTCAAATTCACATTTTGCAGGCAGGCAATCCATATCTGAACGCTGCTTCCCCCTGCGCAGAGAACGGCTTCAGCCAGAAGTTTAAGCACAGCTGCCCTGCACGTGCAGAATTCGGTGCCCAAAGCAAGGGATGTTAAAACACGGCAGCACACAGATATTGTAAGACGAAAAATCCTAGTGATGGGGAAGAGAGGTGGAAGCATGCCGGTGCTCGCTGCGTTGGAGGAGAGAGAAGGTTTGGTTACACCGAACTTTGAACACACATGGGCTGAGCGGTGTGGGCCATGCCTTCTTCATGCCCGACTGGCCACCTGCCAGCTCCCCGGCATGGGGGGATCACTCACTCGGTCTGGCCCCAGGGGATGGGATCCACGCGGCAGTTGGCCAGGAGGTGAGGGCTGTACCGGACCTCCACGTAGATGACTCCTTCTTTTGCTTTTGTTTCCACGAGCTCGTAGGCAATCCTCCTCACCGCCTCACGGTCACCCCTGCAGGGATGGCAGTGGGACCCATCACCGGGACTCATCACCCTCGGGGCACGCTGGGGAGGGGCGAGGTCACCTCCAAGGCTGAGCAACGTTAGCCAAGGGGTCCTGCCAAGGGTAGAGGGGGAAGAAGCAAAAAGTAGACACTTACGCAATGGCGGGCATGTAGTGATTAAACTTCTCTAGAAACTGGGTAAGTGTCAGTGGTGTTTTGTAGCTGACGTGCTTCAGGAGGTCATCAACAGTGCTGCCGGGGAGAGGAACCCCTCTTTTCCTGGAAAAGAAGCCACACGTTACTGATGGGGAATGTGATAGCATTTTTAATCAGTCCATTTCATACAGCAATCGCACGCCAAGCTGGCAGCATTAACTTCCATTTCTTCACAGAAAAGATACAGCACACATTGTCCTTCCAAAATCTCCTCAGAGATACAGCCCTGAATCTCAGCAGGGAGGAAGACAATCCAAAACACAGGCAAAACACAAACAAATCAAAATACGAGCCCAGACTGACCCAGCAGGAACACAGCTAGAGCACATTTTAAACTTAAGAAGTTCATCTAACGGGGCTCTGGATTATTTCCTGGTTCCTCCTAGTCCTACCGGCAGAATTGCCAAAATTCTTTAAAGAAGTTAATTTCCACTTATGCAGGCTCAAAGGCTTGAAAAAAATGCCAAGATGCTCCCAGGCCCAGGATCATGCATGCAGACGCATCGTGGCTCATGGGTTTAATGCTGGCAACTCCTGCGAGTGAACTGGTTCCCAAGCCCAACATCGTGGTGGCATCTTCTCCGATGGGGACACCTCCCATGCAGGAACAAATGCCAGTCCCAGCAACTGCCCTCACCAAAGGGATGGAGATGGTAAAGCCCACCTAAACGCTTCCAAGAGGGAAGAGGCCATTTTTCCCTGGAGCACCTGGAGTCTCAGGTGGGTGGAGGTATCCCCCTGGGGTGAGGGGGTGGCTCGAGGGGGCTGCCAGCCAAGGATGCTTCCTGGGCAGGCTCTGTAACCCCCACCCCATGCCCTGTTACCCTGCACATGCCAACATAAATTAGGAATAATAACAAGACATTTGTTTTTAATCCTCTTTCCTGCCATGACAAATTACAGCTGATGGATGGATCTCTCTGCTAATAGAGACAAAACACCACAGACAGCTTTAGTGTCCCGATGCCAGCAACCGTCCCGATGAGCAACCCGCAGGGAAGCAGCCCAAAGGACCCTTCTCCTGGGCTCAGTAAACGTTGCTCATTCCCTGCTCGGGCAGGAAGGAAACCAGCCCCATGCTCTGCCTTCACATGCAATCTGCACAGATTAAGTTGCTGGCACCCGGCAAGGAACGTTCATCATTGCCAAGGCATCAGTTTTCCTCCTCGACCTGCCCTTTCCATGGCACCGTCACATCGGTCTCCGCTCCAGGAACCGGCCCGCGTCTTCCTCCACCTGCCCAGGGAAAGTCTCCTACAGCAAAGCCATTTATTTCCCCGACCTCTTTTGTGTGCTTCCCGAAGGATTGCCTCCGCGCAGCCAGCAGCAACAGTGCTTCGGGATGATCCGCAGCGACACTGGATTTGGGTCGCTGGCCGAGGGAGTCTGCTGGATCTCACCAGCCTGGCTTTGGGAGCTGCTGCTGCCCCATCCAACCCGCCTGGTAGCTGGGAGCCTTCCTACAGCAAAGCTGCCCCAAGGGAATGTGTTTGTACCCACCGGCACCTCGGCATCCTGACCACAGCTACCTCCAGCCACGGCCAGCACCGCGCACACCGTCCCACCGTGGAGAAGACACTTCTCCTGGGGACACCCAGTCCCATGAGGGGTCTGCTGCAGCTCTAAACCCTTTGGCTCAGCAGGGAGGTGCAAAGCCTGACCCAGACCTGACAGAATTGGAGCCAAATTTTCTAAAAACGGCCGAGTTCAGTCACCGCCCAAGGAGGCTTGTGCATCTCAGCAGCTTTGGGTTATTTCTATGTGGTCAGCCACCACCTGGCAAATTTATTTCCAGCTCTTTACCTTTAAAAATAGACCACAAGCAGCTTTCTGTGGCCAGGGCGAGGTTATTCAGGCAGTCCCCTACAGCTTCCCGCACTGCTTTTACATTTGTGCGAGCGCTAGTTTAAGAGCCCATGAATAGCACAGCCTCGCTCCATCCGACAGCTGGCAGCTCCAGGGGATTCCAGGGCTGTTTAAAAATAAGAGGGAACTCAGCACACACTTGGGCAATGAAGGTTTCTGCCCTAAGCAAGAGAGAAGCACAGGATCCTCAGGTGGATGGTGCCTTCTGGGCTTCAGGGATCCTACACCCCTCCTGGGGGACTACACCGGCATTTTTTCTTCGCTGGCAGAGGGACCCAGCACCAACTCCTCTGTCCATCAGGACTTGTATTCCAGCGCTGCAGCCCACCAGCGGCACGGGCAGAGCCAGGAGGAACCCGGACTCAGCTCACCGTGCCAACGTCCTGCAACGAACTAGATGGACATCTTTGATCCACCCTCCTTGCTCTGACTACACTGCAAAATGTATGGCCAATCCCTGCAGGAAAAGCTACCTTAGAAAGAATATTTCCCCCTAGGATTGCACTGCCTTGGAGTCTGCTGGGCTCACAGGACGCCAGAACCACCTCCCGTCCTCCTCAGAACCCATTTCCTCCACAAAATACCAGAGTTGTGCCTAAAAGCTGTTTCCTGAAATCTTTAAGCTTACCTTCAGACTGAGAAAGAGGCATCGGCTAGTCTCCATTAGCTTTTTGAAAGTCTAACTCCAGCTTTTCTGGTCTAACAGCTGGAAGAAATCTTACGTTTATTTTGCTTACAACCGTGGAGCCAGGTCCTTGCACGGGTTAATCGTTCACCCTGGTGCTTCCCACACAAGGTACACTGAAGCGAGAAGATGCACGCGGGCTCTGTCAAGGAAAGAACCTCTCTTTAAGTCACTGACAACTGCTCACACGAGCATGACCCCTTGGCTGCTGGCACCAGGCAGACAGCCTGGGGTCCAAAGGCAGACAGCAGCAAGGCAGGGAGGAGCACCCAAGCTGGTTTTTCCTCCCAAGACTCTGGAAAGACACCACCTCCAAGAAGACGCTCCCAGCCTACTTTCATTTTACTTGCTTTTTGCAATTAGGAACGTGGAAAAAGAAATGAGAATACACTGACTCTGCCGCTTCCCGGGTCACACTTCCAAAGCAGGCAGCTCTGTTTATAAGACATCTTCTGTACTTTTCTCACGGTGGCTCCTCTTCGCTCGCCCGGCTCACAGGACCGATGACCACCACCACCACCACGCTGACGTTCCCGGTACCAGTGCAGCCCCCTGCAGCACTGCCTTTCGGGATGGGCTCAACGTCCTCGCACCGTGCAGCCCGAGGACCCGCCTGTGCAGAGGGGAGACCAGCACCAGCCAGGTTTGCCAGTCACACCAGGGGAGAGAGCTTTCCCAGCCCACCAGCACAAGCTCTTCTGTTGGAGAACTGGACAAGCAGAAGGGATGATGCTTTTGAACTGTGGGTCCCAGAGCTTTTTTTCCCCCTCCTGCAACTCACCTGCCAAAGTGCAAGATTGTTTCTGGTCTAATGGCTCCATCCAGGTGGACGTGAAGCTCTACCTGCAATAAGATAAAAAGAAATTGGTGAGGTACTCTTAGAGCTGCAGTAAAAGTTGAGATAAGCAGTTGGTGCTAACACGGGTATAAATGCAGCCAATACAGGGACAAAGCCATGACAAGGAAGCACAAAAATGTTTTTAAAATACCATCATTATATTTTTCAATATTTAAGTATTGTCTAAATATTTTCTCATTGCTGCTGCCGCTCATACATGTAATGGATCTTCAGAAATTTATTCTGTTTCCAGTAATTTTCAGGAAGTGCTCTGCTCTTATTTAGCTTGCATGGTTTAGAGTTTGGGAAGAGCGAAAAAAGCAAATCCCAAACACCACCACTTTCCAGCTTGCTCCATCTTGAATTCACAGATACCCAAGCATCAATTAATTTGCTAAGAGTCGTTACACAAAACTTTGATTTCACTTCGAAGAATCAGCTCCTGATACATTGCCAATTACTTGCTAATATCAGAGCTTACAGCCTTTCTAACCCTACACGTTGAGGATCCCATGGTACAAGTTGTTGTAAAAAATAAAAAAGAACAAGAGCTAACAAGCTGGGTTCAAAATAAAACGCTTAAATTTTGACTCATTAAAAATGGGACTGTAACTCAGATCTCTTCGCTCTGAAACTATGGATTTTGGAGAAAGAGTCCAAAAAAAGCAAAAGCAAGCTTTTTCCATTAGACAGCTGGGGTGTTTGGAGGAACATGACAAATGTAATTTGGAAGTCAAACTGGGAAGGAAAATATTAGCTGTAAAGTGTTACAGCTAGGCCTTCATATTTCCTGAACTGTTTTCTTTTAAGCAATGGAATAGCCTACAAAATATGTATTTATTTTTTTAATGAAACTGGAGAGCAGCAACTTAATACACGAAGTTCTTGTTAGTTATAACATTGTGCAAATTTTCCTGTGCAGATAATTGCTGCAGGATGCTGAGGATAAGAATTGAGTAGGATTCAGAAGAGGACTGGATATTTGCATGGATAACTAAACTGCCCAGGGTTACTAATTAAAACCCACAAACCCTCTGGCGTCAGGGTATGTATCAAACAATAACTACGGGTAGCTGGAAGAAAAATGAGTATGCGGTCCCTACAAGCAGGGCAATGCGTAATTGTCCACCTCTTGATCCTTTCGCTCTCCTCTGAAGCATCTGCGAGCAGCTGACGTGAGCTCAACGCCACCGGCCCAGCTCCCGGTGCAGGGCTGGCAATGCCCATCTCCGGGACATGCAATGATGCCCATGACCTCGCTCCCATCCCCACCTCCTCCTGCAGCCCCAGACACCCACCGCGCAGGCACAGACATCCATCCTCTGACTCAGGGCCAGGGTTTTCACTGACCGCTTCCACTGCAAAAGGCCATCATTGCTGGGGTGGGACAGTGCCCAGGCTCAGGCCACCTCTGTAAGATGGCCACGAAGCTACCACTGAATGGGATGCAAAATGCAGGTGCCAGGCTCAGGGCAGCTCGAGTTGCTGATCCTGCACCGTTGCAAACAGCTGGCCCAGGGGGTCATGAATATCCCCACAGATACCACTGCTAGCAGGTTGTAAAAAGATATCCCTGTCACTTCTCCTACCCTTAACACATGACCTGAATCCACAGGGATGAAGATTTTAAAAGGGCAAAACCTGATCTTTCCTCCCACCTCGAGTTACGCAATCCTGCTCATGAGGACTAAATGTCCTGAGAAGCAGCAGATAAAATAACAGATGATGGACACGATCTGCATGGCCAGATGTGGACGCCTGGCATGTTTTCCACTCTTGAGCTCCGATTCTGATTTCAAAACATTGCAAGCTCCATTCCTTCAGGTTTTCTACAGCCCCTGTGACCTCCTGAGGGAGTTACAGGCTTGAAACTTGCTCATGCTGGATATAAAAGCCAAGCAACCCAAACCTACTGAGGTCTTCTCACTCCAAACATTTCTCCAGTGTTTCCTGCAAGAACATCCCAACATGAGACTTCCACCAATGTGAAAGCAAATTCAGTGGTGTCCTTCATCCATGCAAGCCACCTCCTTCTGCCACGACCGCAGGCAAGATGCTTGTAAAGCAGCGAGGTTCCTCTCCAACACCAGCAACAAACTCTTCCTCCCCTGCCATGCATTCCTTCAGGTCTAGAGGGACCTAAACTAAGTGCTAAAAAACTCTTGTGCAACGCTGCCCAACCCAAAAAGTTGTGGTGTTCCTCAAGACCAGTGCTTGGAGGGGGTTGTTTTCCGCAGCTGAGAACTAATCTATGCTATTTAGATCACCAAAGGACATTCAAGTGAAGAAGCCAAGGTGTGCCTACAAGGGTCTCCACCAAGAGCCCGCCCCAGATAAGGATGCAATCAGCAGAGGCACAACCGGCAGCTCAGCCCCCCCAGGCACTTTGCTCGCAAACCCGGCGGGTTTCCAGGTCCGTGGGAGGCTGCTCGCTGCAGATTGCACTTCAGCTCTCTTCCTGCGTGTTTGTGTAGGGTAAACAGAGCGCAAGACTTTTCCAGATACAAGCGGGTGACATGACCTTGCTTTAAGGCAAGGAAAGTACCCAGATAAAGATGAAAGAGTTTCCTCTGAACTGTGGCTCCAGGAGACGACGCCTGAGTAAGCAGAAATAAGGTGAAGGCAGGAACCCAGTGCCTCTTCCAGGGCTCCGCTCCTTGGCACACAGAGGTCCACCCACACGCGGTCTCCCACCCCAAACTCTTCAGTTTATTTGGAGTGGAAGCCCGCACACGCAGATTAAATGGGGATCTCGACATTTGGTCCAGGACCCAAACAGCACCACGGGCTGCACCAGCACCGGAGCAGAGCCTTCAACCATTCCAGGACGAGTGATGCCCTCTTTTTTCTCACAGCAAACCTGGATGTGGTAACATTTGTTCTGATGAAGAAAGAGAAAGCAGCAGGGCTTACAAATGCTTTCCTGGGGCAGGAGGTCTGCTCTTCCCCCAGCTGCAGCGAGGACCCTCAGGGCCACCCTTGTGTGGTCACCCTTCAGCCCTTCTTCTGCACCCCCCCAGCGCTGCAGCTGGGAGCGAGCCCACGGACCGCCGGCCAGCACATCAAAACCACTACACTGCAATTCAACAAAATCTCCCAGTTTCACTAAAGAGTTGTCGAAAGCCAGAGGGATGAGTTCAAAAGATGTAACTGGCCATAAATTGTGCGTCCTCAGCACAGACAACCCCCGGCAAGGCTGTCGGAGCAAACCGAGCACTTTCCATTTTTATGCAAAAAAAGTTTTAGTTCAACCACGGCACGTGACTCGTTAGTGCAGGTATCAGCAAGTTGGTTCAGAGTTTAAAAAAGGAGAAGTTTCAAGGGCTCTGGCTTGACTTTTCTCTTTTGAAAATATTGTAACGTTTTCTTTGAAACTTAATAAGCTTCAAAAATAAATTCAAACACAAAATGAAGTACTGCAAACAAGAATGTTCCGTTCAAAGATCAAGTCTGATTATTTTCAATTTAGTGAAATTAAGAGGAAAAAGTTAACCAAACATTCAAAGTATTTTCAGCTACAGTCAGCCCAACAGAATTTCTCTATTACTCTACGGTTTGCTCAGCGGACCATGGCAGAGCAGTTAACTGCTCAGTTCGCCTACTACGTGGCATAAAAAGCACCATCCAAGCTACGGCACTTGAGGGAATTTCTGTATTAGGTGGTTTTAGGGTCTTTTTTTAAATATATACAATGAACAAAGTCAGCCCTAACACCATGGTAAAAGTAACACCAACCTCACCTTTTATTTCAATGGTTTCCAGCAGATGTTAATAGATAATCCAAGGAGACGCTAAAGTTGCATCATTTTAAAACCTTTAGCAGTGACTTTGCCCAGGATTATTTATCAGCACATTAAAACGGGATAATTTCAAGTTCACTCTACTGATCTCAATAACTGAAAAACAGAGTAATTACACCTGTCATTTGTCAAACGTGGCAGGAAAACATCAATAGAGAGCAAAATTCAACAAGAGAGAACATGAATGCCATTCACTGCAAAAAGACTGAACTGTATTCCCCAAAGACCGGTTTTATAAAAGCGCGCTGTCAGAAGCAAAGCTATCCTCACCATAAACTCACCACAAACACTCGTTTAAAAGCAAGAGGTGAGAGTGGGTCAAGAGCGATGCGAAGTGGAAGAGGAACAGTATTATCCTCAAACCTGACAACACCCACAAATGCGTTTTGGGGATGAATCTGCCACACGCTTTAAGGCTTGAGCCTTTAAAAGAGAAATGCGGGAGACTACAAGACCTGCACGACACACTGCTCCATTGCATGAAATATTTGTGCTTTCTAGAGAAGCGTTCACACGATACGTGGGTTTGGTGACTGAGGAGGATGTTCCTTTAGTAGCCTTTAGTACCATTCCTCCTGGCACCAACTACTCAGCCTCCACTGACTTCGGTATGAGGCTCCTGGTGCCATTAATAGGTGATGGTGACTGCGTGTCACCCTCCTGCAGGGACGGCTCCCACGGGGTGGCAGGGCCACATCCCTCCCCAAGCCATCGCAGACCTCGCACCCGCACACAGCTGGAAGGAGGCAACGCTTCGGAGAGAGAAACAGAGTCCTTGCGCTTCGTGCAGCACCAAGCCAGCCTCTTACTGCCATCCCGTCGGCCAAGTGGATCCAGGAAGGTTATCCGAGAGCGTGCCTGCACCGCGTTGCCGAAGGAATGAGAACGCACATCACTGCGTAAGGTACGGCTGAGCTCGATGCCGCATCGGTGGCACCAGGCTTTGACTCGTGCCGAGACAGCCAGGGGTCAGGTTGTGCGCGAGAAGTAGACAAGTCGAAGAAAAGAACATCCTTGGCACACCCTTGTGCACCCGCGCTCCCCACAGCAAGGATCACCTTTTTTAATTTTTTTTTTTTTTTTTTAAAGTGTTTAAGTTTTGCCTGCAAGACAAACACCAGCACAGACAAACAGCTTGGCACAGATGGGCAGGTCTGTCTCGAGCAGGGGGAGGCTGCAGCGCTACAGGGAGCAGGGCAGGGTGC